GTGTGTGTGTGTGTGTGTGTGTGTGTGTGTGTGTGTGTGTGTGCAGGAATGGCTTTAATCAGCACTGCAGCATATTGGCATGTTGAGTGACTTCTCATTCAGCAGTAACACACTACAAGAGTACCTTGGTGGGGGTGGGGGATGTTCTGTATAAAACCATCTGTCCAGTCATTCACATCTCTCTCCCATGTGCCCGACTCTCCTAGAGATATGAATGGCTGAGGTCAAATGGACCCAACCCCTGCCCTCATGGAGCTGACCACCCAGTGAACAAATGATCCCTACCATATGCATCTTGGCAATACCAAGCCTTTCTCCTCCCAATGGAAACAAAATTTGTGCCCACATTTCTCAAAAAAAGGCTTCGAAAGGCTCAACAGACTGGAGAGCCTCACAATGTGCAAGTTCAGTGTCAATGAGAACTCGATGGTCTGTCCTCAATGCTGGGTTGGCCCAGAACAGCCAGGCACAGAACTACAGCTGTGGTTGGCTCCACTGATGGCTCCACCGTAGGATGAAAGAGCAAGGTCAGAACGTTCACAGTATTTGCTTCATAGTTTTGTTTTTGAATAATCATTTCAGTGATAACTAGAGCATGAGCAAGAACTGCATTCTCCTGGGTGTGGAGAACTTGGACCATGAACTTCAGAACCCTTTGCAGCCCTGTACTGCACAAGCCTGCCTATGCCAGGCACGGCCCTGAAATTCCTGTTCACAGCAGCAGCGTGATGGGTCATCTGTCCATTTCAGCCATTAATCTCGCTAACCATTTCTGAACGACTGTGACCATTCAGTAATGAGACAGTAGTGATTAATTTATTAGGATAGAATGATCTTTAATAAATTTCGTGCCAAAATGCATGGTTTTCCACGTAGCATTCAAAATGTTGTGTAGAGAGTAGTTTTCAGTTTCTTACGTATTATTCAAAGTCAGTTGCAAATCAGTTTCTACACTTTAATTTGTTTCTCATTAAATCTGTTGCACCCTCCTGGGCTGTCTTCTTTTCCAGCAGACCCCCTGCATGCAGTTGTGTAAGGACTTTCTCTAATTCCTGTGAATTGTCTCACCCGCAGTAACCACTGAACATCAGCCCTACGTGGAATTCTTTAGATTTTTTGGTGAAGTATTTTGTTACCTCAGTCTTGTACCAAGTTGCTGTATTTTTCAGCTTGTTACACCAATAATAATTATTTCACTAATTAAATACTTTAATGTACAAACATCTTTGTTTACTTTGAAATTAAATGTGTTTTCCAATGAACCTTGCTGGATTTCTTCAAGTCACATGCATTCACTTAGCAAACTGTTGATGGGCCAGATGAAACACGCGGGATTCCAGGGGTGCTCAGAGCCCAGCCAAAGGGTGACTGGAACCTAAATGATAGGGGAGCAATGCCCTGAGGAATGGGCAGAGACAGCTGTGGGCAGGACATGAGCTGACTCTGGAGGCTCTCGATGCTAAGAGATTCAGAGATCGCACAGTATATAGGGGGTGGAGGAGATGGGAAGATGGAAATGAGAAGGGGCAGGATAAGGTTGGGGAAAGCAGGCATCCCAGCCTCCATGAGTAAAGGGTTTGGGGAGCAATGGGATGGCAAATCTGGAAAGATACCCTGCGGGCAGTTTATGATGTCAGGCAAAAAAAAAACAAAAACCATTCTAGTTTGCTTAAACAAACAAGTATCTTACAAAGGCTGTCTGGGAAGCCGACAGGCTGCAGGGAGAAATGAGACGTCCTCAGCACAGAGCCAACCCTCCTACATCCTTCTCTCGGCTTGGGCTCCCAACGTCTCCTATCTGAGCACCCACTTCTCATTCCCAAACTAGCTCCTCGGCTTGAGCAAAATGCTCCTGGAAGTCTGGGAATGTGCTCTAGGGAGTGGCAGAATCCAAGGTGATCCTGGGCACCCCTGGCCCTCCCTGCTTGCTGCGGTTTCCCAGCCAATGATTTCCAAAGCTGGGTGGCAAGTAGCTCCTAGGGTAACAAATGGACCCCTGGCCCCCTAATCCTGCAAACTCTGCTCGGTTTCATGCCGGCATGGCCCCATCTCCCTAGCTGTGATAAAGCCCCACTTGCTGAGTTGGCCCTAGCTCACCTCCTCCTGTGCCCAGATGAAGTCGCTACCCTCGGTCACACAGTTCAAGGACACAAAAGGCCACTGGAGTTGTCTCCAGTTGGGTGAGAGGCCCCGGAATAAAGGCAGGCTTTAATGTAGAATGTCACTTTAGCCACGATAGTGGTCACGTGGTAAAGCACCACTGCAGATCCACACTCTGCTCCTAAGCAGGTAGGGGTGAGAAGAGGGGTGATGTGGGCGGACCAGTTTGGGTGTGGGCGTGGCCTACTCGCTCACGGAGGCGGAGTTGTGGGCGGAGCCCGGACTAGAGATGGGTGAAGGAGGGCCCAAGGAGTGGGCAGGGCTGGGGCTTAGGATGAAAAAGGTGGGGCATAGGGAGGGGCCATTACGTAGGTGTGGCATCTTGGAGGGCGGCCCCAGGAGAGGGCTGTGCTGCGCTAGCAGGGCCAGGAGGTGTTGAGGTGAGGAGGAGCCGATGCAAGTGGAGCCTTAGGTGAGGGTGTGGTCCACGCAGGCTCTAAGGGAAGGGAGGGGCAGATGGGCAGGCCTGTGCTGGTCTGAGGGGCAAGGATCGGGAGTGGCGGGGTCGTGGACGGACCGTAGTGGCCTGCACCAGCGCCGAGGACGGAGTCGTCAGCTTGAACTTGTGGACCCCGCAGAGGTGCAGCGAGCTGGCCCGGGGAACCCGGTAGGGCCATCGCGGGAAGGACCTGGCTGGAACGGGCGGCGGGA